GGAAGCTGTGGAGGTGGAGATGTTGTGGGTTGAGATGGATCTTTTTTCGGCTGGTGCATGGAGGTGGCTTCAGCTGTGGCTCTCTGGCGCTCGCCTGATCTCTGACAAGGGCATCTTCCCTCGAGGGGGCGGGGGGATAGTGTTTTTGCGTGTCAGGGGCAGACAGTGCCCTTGACAGGTAGTTGATCAGAAAGGGCTGTTGCCCTAATGGATAAGGCGTCGGCCTCCGGAGCCAGAGATTCCAGGCTCACGTCCTGGACAGCTCACTGTTTGTGCTCCCTTGAGGTGCGCAGGATGCTCTAGTGGAAACTCCGGCTCCCTGTGGCTTAAAATTCTCCAAGTGTGCTGTCGCGAGTGCGCTTGCAGTTATGGTGGCTCTGGTAAATGGTCATCGTAGTGTCAGTGGCAATGAGGGCTTTTTTGTGGTGGTGCTTGCAGCGTCAACGAATGGCTGACAGCACGTTGACGCAAGTGGCATCGATGATGTGAGGTTTGCATATCTGCGCACCATGTCTTGAGACCCCTTCATCATAGTCAGATTGCTTTCTTCCCTCCAACTAGCGCAGGCCACATGCCCAAGGATGAAACGGAAGCAAGAGCTGGGGGCGCCTGGCCTTAATACTGGGAGCAAGAGCTTGGAGGGGGCTTGAAGACTGGATATGAAACAAAGCCACATCAGTTTGGATATTTGCCACTCATTTGAGCAGTGCTGGGGATGAGTTGTATGCGTCCAAGTCTTCTTTGAGGGGCGTTTCTGCAGTTGGCCACGAGGTGTGCATCATGGCCAGCCTTAGAGCCAGTGCTTAGTGTGCATGATGGCCAGCCTTAGAGCCAATGCATCGTAGCTCGTGTGGCCTAATGGATAAGGTGCCTCCCTCCTAACGAGGAGACTGTGGGTTCGAGTCCCACCTCGAGTATTTTTATCCATGTTGGCGTGGAGCAGATGGGCCGTTGAGATGGAGAGGCCAGTGGGAAGCTGTGGAGGTGGAGATGTTGTGGGTTGAGATGGATCTTTTTTCGGCTGGTGCATGGAGGTGGCTTCAGCTGTGGCTCTCTAACGCTCGCCTGATCTCTGACAAGGGCATCTTCCCGCGAGGAGGCGGGGGGACAGTGTTTTGTCAGGCGCTGCACTTTGTGAACCTCCATGTGTAGATTTCGTGGCAGACACAGCACTTTGTGATCCTCCATGTGCAGATTTCGTGGCAGGCACAGCACTTTGTGACCCTCCATGTGCAGATTTCGTGGGGCACAGCGCTTTGTGAGCCGCCATGTGCAGATGTCGTGGCAGGCACAGCACTCTTGCGGGTCACTCTTATGACGTCTTTTGCATGTAATACTCATGATGACGCCCAGGCTCACGCGCACGACCTGCTTTCGTCTGCGCGATGAAAAAGAGCTTGGCTATAGAGTTTTACGTCGGCAGCGCGATGGGTTTTACTTCGGCTAGTTGTGGCTGCACACATGTCTGCGCAATACCTCGTACATCCGCCGTGCATATTAATTACTCTCCCACACCTCTCTCCCACCCCTCTGTTGTATAATTCTGATATGACAAGGCCATGTTGTAGAAGCTATTGAGACTCTGACTGCTTTGTGCTTTAGAAACTTAAGATTCGTAAGGATTCGTATGTGGGGCTATCCGGTCCTTTAATTGTTTTTTGAAGCTCTTCCCAGGTGACCCTATTTTGGACCCCCCCGATTTCAAAGACCCCCCCGATTTCAGGGACCCCCCATTAAAAAAAAATGCGACCGAGTTTCTCTTATTAGGGGGGGGCGTGTTTTTTAATAGGTGGACAGGATTATAAAACATAGAGCTAGATCCATGCACAAATGCGGCCAAAAGCAAGCCCACGTTCGAACAATCTGGTTCTGAATCCACCCTGTCTTCACACAACAACAGTCCCAAGAACATGATGACCAAGATTTTTGGCCATCAGTATTGAGAAGAGAAACTCCTGCAAGGCCGCGTCATCCAATCCGCATTCCTCCAACTTTATGATCTCGATCTGCGTCGAAGGAAGACTGTTGGATAACGCTGTCACAGAGCTTGGAGAGAGCCTTAGCAATCTGAGAAGCGCAGCAAACATGATGAGCAGTCTAGTGGCATAAGTGCAACAAGTGCTTCAGACCTCCTCTCTTAAGAAGAGGACACTGGAAGAGGAGGTCTGGAAGACGCTGGAAAAGGAGGTCCAGATCATAAGCTTTGTTTCACCGTCACCGTTTCATGAGCGCCAACCAACACGCCACCCCGGGACCACCACACCAAGCGGATCCAAGCGGCCAGCTCTGCGACAAGTTGAGGGTCGTCACCTGGGTGGCAAACATGAAATGACATGAGACGAAGAGAAGAAAACGACCACAGTTGGCATCTACAGTTCGCGAACTATGTTTGGAATTGAAGGCACTTCGCCTTGAAGGCGAAAGAAGGGCTGCATTCTCTTGAGGCTTCGATGGGCTGGAAAAGGTGCTCGGATCGCGGCCGGAAGTGCCTGGCAAGCCCTCAAAGCTTGAAAAATTGTTTGTACAGCATATTAGGAGCAAAGGACGCGGGGCTCCTGGCCGTGCTACTAGGAACAAGAAGCTACTAGGGGCTCCTAGTAGCGTCCTTGCTCCTAGTTGTATTCAGGAAGTTGCGAGAGGTTGAGAATAGCAAAAGCCCCACCCTAAATCCAACATCCAAAACCAAAGAATGGCAAAAAGGGTTTCCTCGCCCAAAACCTCTTGGATGAACGTCTCTTCCACAACTTCTAGTGACCTTATACAACCTTGAAAAGGATTATCCTTCCCAAATCTCGCCCCGGCTTTGCCCTGGGAAATTCCACCATCGTTCAACATGTCTGGCAGTTGAGAGGTCGACTTGGACTGCCATGACCAGCTTGCGAGGCACATTGTGACAGCCATGTGGGCGTCCACTTTTCCGCTGAGGCACATGGGACTGCATCAGTTGAGAAAAGACGGGCAACCTTGGCTCAAAGCGGCTCGGCCGTTGCGACGCGTTGCGCCGTTGCGTCTCAGCCGGGGCTTGGGAGGCCACTAACACCATCACTTCTTACACCATCTTACTGGGCACCTGAGACCAAAGTGAGAAGCTCAAAGAGCTCGAAATCTTGGGGCTGCTAGCATGTGCTAGGCTAGCATGTGCTAGGCCACCTGAGTTGGAAGACCCTTTCGGCTTTTTTCAAGCTCAGGCAGTGCTTTTTCGTCCAAAACGGCCACACGACACGTGCAGGTCGTGCAACAAGACCGGCGAGACCAGCGGTTCCTCCGCCTCCTCCGCCTCAGCCGCTTCGGAGGCCTTGGCTCAGTGTGGAAAACACCTCCGACATCCCCGGGGAATTACGGCTCTTCAGTGGCTTTTCAGTGCTAGTGCTCAACCCACTCGACGAATTGTTCAACCAACGCACGTTTTTGTATGCTGCTGATGATTGTGGAGTGTGACCCGTAGCCTTGGCACAAAGCAATAGTTACCAGTCGATCTGTCAAATTATCTCAATTCGTCTGTTCAATCACTCATGCGCTTGAATCTGGCCAAATCTGCGAGACATATTTTCCTCGATGGAGATTGGCAAGTACTTCGGGTCAATGTTCATCAGTTCATCTGTTCATTGCTAGTAGGTTCCAGGCCATCGCTTGGAGGCCATCGCTATTAGCCTCTTTTTTTTCAGCAGGTTCATTCTGTGTTCTCTGGCGAACGCCCACCCTTCGACCTTGCCCCGCTGAGTGCTACACCACCTCTGGCGCTGGGCTGGGAGCGCTGGGAGCACTTGCTGAAGGGGACAGGTCATCACCTGCAAGGCACTTGCCACAAAAATAGTTGGGAAACGAGGTGCGCGACGGGACGGTGTGAGATATTGAAATGAGTGGCCCATGAGATATTTTTCACGTGAGAAAGCATCAAGGACCTTTCCACTTGTCGAGTAAGGCTGTTTCTTGTATCAGAGCAACCAAGCTGATAAGAAGATCGAAGCAGTTGAGGGCTGCCAAAAAAAGCGCCAGTGTGGAAGCCCTCAAGGATCAAGGCCCAAAAACCATGGATCCGGAAAAACTCGCCGGCAGCTTCTGCCTTGACCCAGAGTGGAACTTGGAACATGCCGGAAAGCATGAACCTCTTGCATTCGTATCTTTAAGACGCATCAAGCTGAAACGGCCTGAAACATGATTCCTCGCTTGCGCGAGGTCTTAATGGGCTACCAATGGGCGCGCCCTAGGTGGCAGGGCGCCCTGCGCCGGCTGCCCGTGCCCTGCGCCTGCCATGTTGGCCGCGGCTTTTGGCTGAGTTGCCTTGGTCACCCGCCTTTCGCTCTCGTCCAGTCCGCCGACTGGACCAGTCGAAATAAAGGAAACAATGCCAAAAATGAAGAAAGATCAACAAGTCTAAAATCAGCTAAAGTATGGCTATGACAATTCGATCACTACGTGAGCTACATCATCTAGAATCTAAAAGAAACAAACAAAACAAAACAGAAATCAAAAGAAATACCAGTTGACTCGGCATTTGATTCAACCGCAGGTGGCATGAATACTGCCAGAGCGATGCCAAGTAAACTCCAAGTCCAAGCTGCTTGTAGGTGTTCGGATATCCTTAGCCAAACAAGAACTCACAGCTCTTGGCAACCAACTATCTAATCTAAGGTGTCTGAGATCAACTATCTAATCGACCGGTTCGAGTTCGAGTTCGAGTTCGGATCGACACACAATTATCGAGCCGGGGGGGGGTGGACCGGTTCGAGTTCGAGTTCGGGTTCGGATCGGCGACTAAGAGACTTATAAGGGGGGGTGGACCAGTTCGAGTTCGAGTTCGGACCCACAACAACAGCAACGAGAACCAACAGCAACGACAACAACCACAACCGCAATCGCCACGACCCACAACACAGAAGAAGAACAGGAACCAACCAAGCTAGCAACAAAGCAATCAACCTGTTGAAAGTATCCGCGCTGCGCAGTCTCATCTTTGCAGCCAACACTTGTTTTATTAGGATCTGGTGTGCTGCTGGGGGGGGCGCTGCGCCCCCCCCCCAACCC